CCACGGTTCGACACACGGGGCAGCCGTTCTCCGGGTCGTTCGCTAGACTGTCGCGCAGGCACTGGTCGCACAGCACGTGGGCGCACGGAGTCAGCACGGCGTTCTGCGGCGGGTCCAAGCAAATCGGGCACTCCTGCGACTCCAGGCCATCTTCAACCTGCGCTATCACGCTCTGGATGTACGACGCCGTCAAGCCTCCAGCCGAGCTGCTGCTCTCTGTGTCCGTGGCGTCGCTCCCGTTCTCCAGAAGCTGCGTGCGGTTGCTGGCCTTCATGTCCTTTTGGAGCTGCGCGGCGATTTGCTGGTAGTAGGCCTCAGAGCTCTCGTTGTGCTGCGGCTGGAACGCTGACCTGGCCGAGGCGGCTGTGGTAGTCGCGCTCGTACTCTTGTCGTCGGACTGCATCGCTTGCTCGACGTCTTTCCCGAGCGCGAGCAGAGGGTGGTCGCAAGCTTGACGAAGTCGGAGCAACAGTGCGAAGATAGCGACGTAGCTTGTCATTGCTGAGCCGCTGGCCACGAAGCCGTTGAACTCGGCCCTGCTCTTGTCGTATACAGCTTGGTAGAACGCTCGCTCGTCCGGGGAGAACTCGAGCTTGACCAGGTCGACGTGCTTCGGGGGAAGCTGAACGATCATTTTGCCCTGCTTGTCCCGCGAGTGCTTGGTGCGCCGAAGCAGAATTGGGGTTAGAATCACCTTCAGCCGACCGAGCGCGTTTACATCGTCACCATCTTCATACGGCTTCGTGATCACCCTCTTCCACCACGCCACTCGAGACCAGGGCTGGTACTGGAGAAAGCAGAGAAGAGAGAACATGTCGTCGAGTGTGTTCTGGATAGGAGTGCCGGTTAGACACCAGCGGTGGGTGGCTTTCATCGCAGAGCACGTCTTGAAGTAGCCTGTAGACCTGTTCTTGATGCTGTGCGCCTCATCAAGAATGACGCGGTTCCACTCCGCTGTCGTGAGGACCCCGTTCTTCTCGAACTCTGCCGATAGCACTCCGTACGTGGTGAGTAGCAGGTCGCTCTTGCTGAAAGATGCCGCACTAAGCCCAGTGTCGTTGTCGCGATCGTCGCCATAGTACACGTGAACGCTCAGCGTGTTAGGGAGGAAGCGCTCTTGTGCCTCGTTTTTCCACTGGTGAAGCAAACTCAGCGGGCAAACGACGAGCGTCTTGCCAGTCGTTTTCCGTTTGTCCCGGGAAGATGAGTCAGTGTTGTTATCAGCATCTTTCTCTTCACCAACGTGCTTTTGATATGCGATGAGTGAAAGCATCATCATCGTTTTGCCTGCATGTAACAAGATATACTCGTTAGTTGTGCACTTGTTGCCATGACAAGCGCACGGAGGCGACAACTTACCCATTCCCATGTCGTCTGCTAGAATTCCGCCTAAACAGGGAACTGGAGGGTCCGGTCGAGTCAGCGAGGCGCTTTTCTCGAAGGGGTTTACATAGTACGAGATCTTGGACCGGAAGTGGCGTTCCTCCCACATCTGAAAGAGATGAAGGAAGTGGTTAGCATGAAACAGAAGAGTACAAGCAGTGCAAACTATGACAGGAGTGAGATTGCTTACCGGGTCGTTACTCTCTTGCTCGCTGACGCCGCTTTTAAGCTGGTTCTCGCGCCACAGCATCCATCGCAGCGCCTGCTTTTGATGATCCCGTAGCTCGATAGCATTCAGATACTGCAGGAGGTGCTCTGATGGGTCCGTGTCCGATCCATCCGCTGAGTTGTGGAGGTCGTTTGCGCCAACACACTCCGAAAAGAGGGTGTCAAGGTCTTCCGGGTTCACCTTGGCCGACGGATCTTCAGCCTCTGCAGAGGGACGGGAAGCCAGCGCATCCAACGACGGCGCCTCAGCCCCGTTGATCATCTGCAGCAGGTTGTAGAGATGGTCGGAGAGGTGGAAGTTCGCGTCGCCTTCCTTGAACATGTCGAACGCCTTGACGCTAACGTACACGAACGCCGTCACCTGCATCAACGCGATACTGTATCAGCACCATGTGCAGTAGCGCCCCGTCAACACCCAACACGATCAAACACCACGTACATCGAACGACGCGAACATGTGCGACGACACTGGGGGCGTCTCGCACACGGCCCCGAGCTTCACGAGCCCGCTCTTCATGAGCGGGTGCAGCAGCATCTCGAGGTTCCGCTCCAGTCGCCCGATCTGCGAGTGCTGCAGAGTGGCGATCCTCACGATGCCCCCAGACGCCGAGGCGCCGGCGGAGAGTCCGGGTCGCAGCCGCTTCTTGCCGGCGTTCTCGGCCTGCAGCAGCAGCTCGTCCCCGACCTGCAGCGCCACGCCCTGGCGGTTCACCGAGGCCTGCATGGTGGTCTTGCCCAGCACCTGGAAGCTCTGGTCCTGCGCGTCCACGCGCTCCAGTCTCTGCAGCGCCTGCTCCAGTCTCCGCTTAGCCCCCTCGTCCTGCTGGGCGCCGCCGCCGGTCGACTCCTGCTGGGCCAGGCGCTCGAAGTACTCGGAGGCGGCCCCGGGCACGCTGAAGCAGTTGCGCTGCAGCAGCGCCATCATGTCGGCGTCGGGCAGCTCGATGCCGAGCTCCTTGAGCTGCTGCAGCTTCTTCTGCACGCGCTGCCGCTCCTTCTCCGCCGAGCTGCCGACGCCGAAGAGCAGCGATGGCGACGGCGACTTGGCGGGCGGCGTCTTGGTCTTGGCCCTCTTACTGGCCGAGCGGCTGGCCGGCGCTGGAGACGCCGCGGGAGCCTTTACAGGCGTCGCGGCCGGCCGAGCGCCCATGCACATGGCGCATTGCCGCACGCGCGGCTCATTCTCGAACGTGCAGCGCGAGCAGCTCCACGCAGCGGTCGCCATGGTTGCCGCCAATAATAATCCGAAGTTACCGCCACAATCCTCTCGTATTTTATCGTATCGTCAAAGTTGACAAAACACCAGCAACGTAACAATCTAAACTACATCGGCAAAGTTCACAAAAAGACTACGCAACTTAGGCTACGCAACATATCATAAGTTGCACTTTAGTGATAAGTTGATAAGTTGATAACTCAGCAAGAACCCCTGTGGAGTTCTCAACTTGAGAACTACAAATACACTTTACCATTTCTGGATCCAGTCATCCACTGCCAAGTTCACCAAAGGGAGTCCTCTTCATTTCGCTAACAAGTTTAGTTTGTAAGTTTTAGAGGGCTCTGGGGGCTCACCTCACCACACACATGCATATTGTAAAATGGACGCAGTTGAATCTATCGGGGCATCTACGCCAGGGCGGGGATGGCCTGCGGGTCGGTGTTGAACATCTCGTTGGGGTCTACTTGGTCTTGATCTTCTGCAGCTTGGCGAAGTTGCCGCCGCCGTACAGGAACTCGGCCATCTCGCTCACGGTCCAGCGCTCGTCGCGGTACGTCGTGAAGCCGCCGGGCACGCCGCCCTTGGCCTTGTAGGCGTCCACGAACTTGTAGAAGTTGGTGCGCATGGTGGTGATCGTGGTGTCGGCGAACTTGACGTCGAAGGACGGCGTGCGGATGTCCCAGCGGGTGAGGTGCAGGCGGTCGTCGTGCTTCCAGGCCGAGGCGTCGGCCGTGACGCCCTTGGCGTACTTGCCGCCCCAGATGTCCACGAAGCCAGAGGCCGTAGCGTCCGGGAGCGCGGGGGCGAACGCGGTGCTGGAGAAGAGCTGCCAGGCCGTCGAGTTGTCGAGCGGCGTGGAGATCTTCACGGTCGGGCAGGTCGTGATAAGCCTCGTCGGTTAGCCTATCTAATCGAGGTAAATCCCATCTACTGTACTACAGGGATGAAAGCCTTGTGGCATTCCTACCCGCTGGCCATGCGTTTGGATTCCAACTTGCGATGGGGATGATGAATCAAATCTGCTTGTCACGTCGCTGTGTCAACGCTGTTTTCACGGTTCTGGCCCGCTGGAACGCTTACTCCAGCCCAGCCTGCACCGGTAGAGCCTAGCTGTAATAGCGCCGTAGACACCCCGCACGACTTCACGGTTGGGAGAGCTCCCGATTGTGCTTGACTGCAATCTCTCGTGAGAACAGGCAACTCGAAGGGAACAAGCCCCATGACCCCCCGGCACAGAGATACATGTACTCACTTCCGCATTTGCCCTCCAGCACTCAAGTCCCCAACAACTCGAGACCAAGGCGAACCATGGTCGTGTCGATCTCCAGCGCCAGCCGCGCGATTTTCGCGCTCTGCTCCCTCATCGCCGCGCAGGCCGCCGCGGTCCCGGCTGACATCGGTCCGTGTCTCGACAAGGCCGGCATCGAGAACTCGGTGCCCAAGACCACGACCTGGACGATGGACATCCAGCCGTGGAACTCGCGCGTGAACCCCCAGCCTGCGGCTGTTGCGTTCCCCAAGACGGAGGCCCAGGTGTCGGCCGCGCTCAAGTGCGCCGCCGATGCCGGCGTCAAGGTCACCACGCTGGGCGGCAACCGCTCCTTCTCGAGCATGGGTTTCGGCCGCAACAACGGCGCCCTCGTCATGCACCTCAAGTACCTCAAGCACCTCAAGTACGACGCGTCCACTGGTCTGCTGTCGTACGGCGGCCCCGTCATGATCTCGGAGACCGCCAAGTACATGTGGGAGTTTAACCGCACTCTGCCCCACGGCCGCTACCCCGACGTCGGCATGACCGGTGTGGCCGCCTCGGGTTTCGGCACCCTCTCGCGTACCGCTGGCACAGTGCTGGACAACGTCGAGGCCGTGCGTGTGGCCCTGGCTAACGGCACCATCGTGGACGCCAGCGCCAAGCAGAACGCGGACCTGTACTGGGGCGTGCGCGGCGCTGCCAGCTCCATGGGCGTGGTGCTGGACTTCAAGATCAAGACGATCGAGCCTCCGTCGGAGCGCGTGACGAACTACACCATCGCCTTCAACTCGAGCGTCAAGCCGACCCAGCAGGACAACGTCAACGCCTTCCTCGGCACGCAGAAGTAGGCTCAGAGCGCCGACAACAACGACCTGCTCTCCATCCGCTTCAGCCTCAAGACCAGGTCCACGCTCCAGGGTTTATTCTACGGCTCGCCCGAGCAGGCCAAGACCGTGCTCGGCTCGCTCATGAAGAACCTGCCGGCCTCGATGATGCTCACCACGACCGACAACGACTTCTGGACGTCCGAGGCCATCTCGACCCCCGGCCTCGTGGAGGAGGCCATGTCCCCCCGCCGCTACTTCTACATCGCGTCGGTCACGATCCCCAGCTCCACGCCGCTCGACAACTCGACGGCCTGGCAGCTCTTCTCCAGCACCGCGTTCGCCCCCGCGCTCCCGGACGCTACGGCCTCTGGCTTCGTGGACATCTGGGGCGGCAAGTACGCCAAGGGCGTCACGGCCGACGCCTCGGCCTGGAAGCACGACGACCGCCTGCACCTCACCCGCTGGGACATCCGCACGCCGTCCTTCGACGTCAAGTTCGCCGACACCACGATCACCACCATGCGCACCAACTTCTACAAGTTCGTGGACGCCTACAAGGCCAAGGGCGGCGTGCCCGGCGGCTTCACGACGTACCGCGACGAGCGCTGGACCGTGAGCGAGATGGCCGAGTTCCTGTACGGCGGCGGCAACTTCGCCAAGCTGCAGAAGATCAAGACCAAGTAGACCCCAACGAGATGTTCAACACCGACCCGCAGGCCATCCCCGCCCTGGCGTAGATGCCCCGATAGATTCAACTGCGTCCATTTTACAATATGCATGTGTGTGGTGAGGTGAGCCCCCAGAGCCCTCTAAAACTTACAAACTAAACTTGTTAGCGAAATGAAGAGGACTCCCTTTGGTGAACTTGGCAGTGGATGACTGGATCCAGAAATGGTAAAGTGTATTTGTAGTTCTCAAGTTGAGAACTCCACAGGGGTTCTTGCTGAGTTATCAACTTATCAACTTATCACTAAAGTGCAACTTATGATATGTTGCGTAGCCTAAGTTGCGTAGTCTTTTTGTGAACTTTGCCGATGTAGTTTAGATTGTTACGTTGCTGGTGTTTTGTCAACATTGACGATAAGTGGTGAAAAATACCGACATTTAATGTTCTTTTTCGCTCATCTACGGTAAAATACGAGAGGATTGTGGCGGCAACTTCGGATTATTATTGGCGGCAATCATGGCGACCGCTGCGTGGAGCTGCTCGCGCTGCACGTTCGAGAATGAGCCGCGCGTGCGGCAATGCGCCATGTGCATCTTTAACCTTTAAAGTTTTCTTAAAACTTGAAATATTTTGTACAATTTGATAGATCAATATTTCGTTTAGCAAATGCTGGACCCTTTTTGGCTGGTCCTGGTCACACATCCACCAACAGCAAGAATGCTGGCCGCAAGACGCCGTGCCGTTCGCAGCAGCTCGCGCGCCTTCGCCGCGCTGGCCAATGCCGTTCGCTTCGAGTCCAGCAGCGCCAATGCGCAGGCCAAGGTGAAGGTGCAAAGCTCGCGGCTGCCGCGTGACGGTCCCGGCCTTGGCGACTTCCTGCGCGAGTCGCAGTCGCACGACCACCAGCGCACGGCCGAGGCGGCGCGCGAGCCGAGCGAGATGAACTTCCCGGTGGCGCCCAGCAGCGTGCGGTCGCTGGAGGAGCTGGAGGAGCAGGCGCAGGAGGCGCGGGTCTGCTCCTTCTTCATCGAGACGTACGGCTGCCAGATGAACTCGGCTGACTCGGAGATCGTGCGGGCCATCCTGCTGGAGGGCGGCTACTCGCCCGCGTCCTCGGCCGACGCGGCCGACGTGGTGCTCATCAACACGTGCGCCGTGCGCGACAACGCCGAGGCCAAGATCTGGAACCGCCTCGAGTCGCTGCGCCAGGTCAAGGCCAAGCTGCTGCGCAAGAAGCAGAAGGTGCAGACCGTGGGCGTGCTGGGCTGCATGGCCGAGCGCCTCAAGACCAAGCTGCTCGAGTCCGACAAGATGGTGGACCTGGTGGTGGGGCCCGACGCCTACCGCGACATCCCCAACCTGCTGCGCGTCGTGCACGGCAGCGGCGAGGCGGCCGTCAACGTGCAGCTCTCGCTGGACGAGACGTACGCCGACATTGCGCCCGTCCGCGCCGACCCGCACAGCCCGTCGGCCTTTGTGTCCATCATGCGTGGCTGCAACAACATGTGCTCGTACTGCATTGTGCCCTTCACGCGCGGACGCGAGCGCAGTCGCGTCATCAGCTCGATCGTGGACGAGGTGCGCGCGCTGAGCGACCAGGGCGTGAAGGAGGTGGTGCTGCTGGGCCAGAACGTCAACTCGTACCATGACAAGAAGTCGGAGGGCGCTGCCGAAAAGGGGCGCGGCTACGTCTCGTCCGCGGGGTTCAGCAACATGTTCCGCTCGCGCGACGCGCCTGGTTTCCGCTTCGCCGACCTGCTGGAAGAAGTCTCGCGCGTGGACCCGGAGATGCGACTGCGTTTCACGTCGCCCCACCCGAAGGACTTCCCGAACGAAGTGCTGGACCTCGTGAACGAGCGCCCCAACATCTGCAAGCAGATCCACATGCCGGCTCAGAGCGGCAGCACCACGATGCTGGAGCGCATGCGTCGTGGCTACTCGCGCGAGGCGTACCTGGCGCTAGTGGACAACATGCGTACGCGCATCCCCGGTGTGGCCATCTCCTCCGACTTCATCACGGGCTTCTGCGGCGAGACTGAGGAGGAGCACGCCGACACCATCTCGCTGATGCGCCAGGTGTGCTACGACCAGGCTTTCATGTTCGCGTACTCGATTCGTGCTCGTACACACGCTGCCCACCGCATGGAGGACGACGTGCCCCAGGAGGACAAGCTGCGTCGGCTGCGCGAGGTGATCGACACATTCAGCGAGGTGGTGACGCGCAAGAACTACGTCGAGGACTCGGACCGGCTGCACATCGTCCTCGTGCAGGGCCCCAGTCGGCGCTCCACGGACGAAGACCCGAAGCTCACGGGCCTCACGGACACGAGCAAGCGCTGCGTGTTCCCCAACCAGGCGATGCCGGGCTCGCTGCGCGCCTTCACGAAGCATGCGGGCGAGCTGGCGTCGCAGTTCCTTCCCCTCCCCACTGTTAGTTCAGACAGCGTCCACGCCGCCCCAGGCGACTACGTGCTGGTGCGCGTCCGCGATGCTGGCCGTCACACTCTGCACGCTACGCCCGTGGCCCGCACCACCCTGCAGGAGATCGCGGAGCTGGTGCCGTCCGAGCTGCTCGGCGCCAGATCGCACTCTCTCGAGGCGTTGGAGCTATAGATATTAGACACCTTACATACACGAAGCAAGACCCACAGCTCACAGCAAAAGAAGCACGTCGTTGTTTTTCCATCCAGAGCTCAACGCCGCGTCCCCATACGCCGAGTCTGCTGTCCTAATGTGCCGCGACCGCGCCCTTGGCAGCCTCCGCGGCGCGCTTCTGCATCTCCATCTGCATGTTCGAGATCTGTGACCGGCACAACAGCAACCAAAGCAAGTCAGCTCCCAACTTCCCACTCTCAATAGCCAATAACTGCGTACGTTGGTCCGGATGCCGATGGCCTCCTTCTCCTTGGCCTCGATCTTGGAGTTCACCTTGCTCCTGCTCACAGGACACCGCAACCAAACACGTTAGTCTGTGGCCGAGTCCCTCCTGCCTACAACTTCCTGCTCGTGCCGTACAGCTCGTTGTTGATGAACTCGAGGCGCTTGTTGACGTTGGTCTTGGCCTCGTCCACGTCCTGCTTGAGCAGCACGGGGCCCACGAGCTTGTAGACCTTGGTCTCGTCGTCCAGCAGGTCCAGCTCCTTCTTGACCATGTCGTTCTCGTTGGCCTGCTGCGCGTACGTCTGCCGCTGCGTCGCCAGCACTTGCACCTCTGCACCGCACGCCACCCACGCCCCAGATCAGTCAAGTTCAGTCCCGCTGCGAGTCGAGGCGCACTCCGCGCCTACGCGCGCACGCACCGTCCTGCAGCGCCCGGTAGCGCGTCATCTCCGCCTCGACCTGGTCCTTGAGCTCCGCCATCTTCACGCCTCGATCCACCAATATAAAATACCGGTCACTCGAATAAAATCCCATGGGAACGCATGTGTATTCCGTTTGATAGTGGGGTTCAAGCAGTTGAAGTATTTGAATTTGAATTTGTTGCGGTTTAGATGGCTATCTACTCCCAGGATCGCGCTCAGCTGCAAAGCAGTTGAAGTATTACTTGAAGTGGAACAGCTGAGCTACGAGGCAAACTGCACCATGTTGTGCTGCACCAGCAGCCGCAGCTTGGGGCCCAGCCCGGGGTCCTGCGCAAGGCGCTGCAACTCGCTGGGCGACTGCTGGCACGCGTGCAGACGCTGCATCAAGGTCCCGTCCGAGAGGGCCGCCAGCAGCTCCGGGTTCTCCAAGATGCGCTGCACTTGCTCCTCTTCCTCGGGAGTGCGCTGCATTCCGGCAATGACCTGGCGTCGCGTCTCGTCCAGGTCGACGATGGCCGGGGGCGTTGAAGCTGCTGGAGGCGTCTGGTTGCTGTTATACACACGGAGGTCTCTCCCGACTGCTGGCTGGTGTTGTGTTGCTGAACTTTGCGGTGAAGCAGCCTCCTCCGAAGCGCCCAGCTATCAGACAGCAAGCAACTCGTCGTGAGAATTAAGAGTCCTCTTCGGGTCGCAGTACCACAGCCACATGGACACTAGACCCACCTCTTCAAAATGGTTCCCAAGAAACTCCATGAAGTCCCGCAACATCGTCGACACTGCTGGATCCTTTTGGTATTTCAGCACAGCAGCTTGAGGGTCCTGCTGCATCTCGGCTATCGCCGTCGTGAAGGCCGGGTTTTGCAATGCTGGCATGAACAGATCCAGACGTTAAACAGGCCGCCAATTATCGATAGCCCTCCAAGGATCAACATGCGAACATACCCTGAGCAAGCCTTGGATTGCGAGCGAGTTTTTCAAAAAACCGCTCGTTCATCCACTCTGGAAAATGCGAGCACAGAACTACGAGTTAGAGTTTGTAGTTAAATACAAGACGCCGGGCTCGTGCCGCGATCCAAACCTTTAGGGTCTAGCTGGTTCATGCTCTTCATGGCCTCCTGCACTTCTGGGAACACGAACATTGGGCTGGTCGCCGTAGCTTCTTCTTGCTTCTCTTTGACGATCAACAGGCGCTCGTCTCGCTGTATTCAGCAGATAAACATTAGTGTTGCACGGATCGCATCCCCCTTGAGCCTTTAACCGTACCGCTTGCTGCCGAGTTGGCTCCAGAACTGATGTACGCTGTGCCGTCTTCACTTTGGTGGGCTTGGGTTTTGTGTTGAAGAAGCCCTTCTTCAGCCCCTGGCCGAAAGATTTGCGGTTGCGCTCGCTTTCTTGCTGCTTGCGCTTGTCCTCTTTGGCGCGCTGAGCGACGGCCAGCATCTCATCCATGACGCTAGATTCCTGCGGTTGCGTTGAGGGATCAGCTGCTTGGTTGTCTGTCTCCAGCTTGTCGGCCTCGCCCAGCATCGGCGGCTCGTCGTCTTCCCAATCCTCGAGGTCGATGCTTCTCATGGTCAGCTTGTTGAATATGCGGTGGC